TCTGGTGGCATGTCTCCAGCTGCACCCTCCCACCTTCCTTGCACACCCCGAGCCCCAACATCACCTCTCCATCCCCGGAGACCAGAAGCTTCGTTCCTTCATTCTTGCTGATCCCAGGGTGAGGAAATCAACCTGCGTGCAAAGTCACAGACGGTCACCCCTGTTGCCCTCCTGGAGATGCCCCACAGTCCGGCTGCCTGTTAGTACCTGTGAAGTGGCAGGAGGGGCATGGGGCAGAGGAGTCACCCCCCGTACTGCATGGTATCAGGAACAGGAGGGAGATTCTTCATAAAGGTCCCTCACTCACTGTGTCGAGAAAGAAGCTACCAGTGTCCCCGCCTTCCTTCTCCAAGGCCACTAATTCTCTTCTCCCGCAGGGGAAGGACAGCCTCCTGAGCTCAGGTGGCCATGGTCCCTGCGGTGGATGAACCTGTCAATCCAGAGCCTTGAAGGACACGGAGCTGAGAGTGGCTCTGTTGTTGGCATTCAAGGCTCTCCACAAAACCCTCAAAACAGTCTCTCCCCCCCACCCCCGCCCAGCCACAGACTCCAGCGACACACAGCAATTCTTGAAATGGGACTTTTGCCCCCACAGACCAGAGAGTCCCACCGCTGGACACCAGACAGACCAGCAGGGGAACTGTGTTCTCTGGCACAGAAGACAGCCTCTGCCTGCGTGGTCTGTGGCTCCTGGAGCCGTCTCCTGCTCCAAATTCACTAAACTGGAAGAAACACTGGAGAGACCAGAAGTGCAAAAAGGAAATCCTCCCCCCGTCATGCTTTCATTTTTTTCCATTTGTGTTTCCAATTAGGGGGAAGAGGAGTACAAGAGAGAAGGGCACGACAGGACCCTGTCTTCCAGCAGCTACCATCGAATGACACATGCACAACGGTGTATGGGGACCTTATGTCCTTCAAGAAACAGAAAATCCACTGCAGTGGCCAGGACGCCTGGGACTTTCTCCTTGTCTAGGGAAGGGAAGCGATTGCTGGGCTTGGCTTCCTTCCAGGTTGAAGGACGGGGCTCCACTGGGACTGACACAAAACAGCGCTAGGGGAGACTGAGAAGAGAGGTGAGAGGGCCGGGAGGAAGGGAAGGAGTCCTGTCCTGACACGGCCACACCTAGTCTCTGACACCAGGCGCTCCAGGCCCAGGCGGCAGAGTGACGGTTCATACTGACCGGCACCGACCTGAGCATTTTTGTGAATATGTCACTCAGTAGTTATCATGACAGATATTTACTGGGTACCTACAATGCCAGGCTGGGTGTTGGGGCTACTGCATGGATTGAAATGCCTGCAGCCTGTTGCTGCTACCCCAGTGCAGTCAGGGAGCAGCAGGGCCCGGATTTGAGTCCGGGAAATGACTACTGGGCCGTCAAAGGATTGCAGCTAGTTGCATCGTAAAATGCAACCTCTTTGGAAGACTGGTCGAAACCTCATAAATCATAAATGGCTCAGTGTGAAGCAATGGGGAGCAGTTTCCGTGCTGTGGCTGACATTGTGGGGTGGCTGAGATGGAGTTGGCCTCTATCAGAATGGTCCAGGCTGGGCCTGGCCCTGGAGAGGGCTAGTGCTGGAGTCAGCTCACCTCCCAGAGCCTCGGTTTCCTCGTAAAATAGGGATCATAATGGGACCTAATTCATTGTGCTGGGGAGAGCTACTGAGTGGAGTGTAGTCAATGAAACACTTCACAAAGTGGGAACAATTAAGCAGTCAGTCGCTGAAGCTCCAACTCTCAGCTCCACATTCATGGCAGGGGTGGGGACAGGTCACAGTTTTTGTATCAAGGAACCAAAACCTTTCCCTGAAGCCCCCACACACCCCCTGTCAGACCTCAGCTACGCCGCCTGGGCCAGAACACATCTTGGGACCACTGTCAGCTGCTGCAGTTGCTGCTGGCAAAAGCAACGGCGGGGATGGCTGTAGGGGTGGGGATGGCTGTAGGGGTGGGGATGGCCGTAGGGGTGGGGATGGCTGTAGGGGTAGGGATGGCTGTAGGGTTTCACCACATTGATCCGCCACAATGCAACACTGTCTCCACCGCAGTGTGCCTGGAGAGGTGCTAAAGCTCTGACCTTTCACCTCTCAACTCCATAACACATGCAATCCAGGGGGCCTTAGTTGGACAAGAGTTTGATTTTTTATTTCTCCCCTTTCCAATATTATGGGAAGTATGGTCAATTTCTGTTATTTGCATAAAGTTGCCACCAGCACTGAATCAGCAAATACTGAAGCATCGCCCCGAGGAAATACAGGGTTAGGTCCCAAAAGCCTCTGGTCACATTTTTGTCCACTTATCAACATGTCACCTTGTTTCGTGCATGTTTCTGTCTGAAGGCAGACCTTGTTAATCCGTACTGGGACTCATTAACATTGAACTCACGGCCGGCAGCCCCACTACTCAGCCTGAACGAAGCTTCTTAACTTAGGTGTTTTCTCCATATGACACGTCCCAGCCTTCCAGTGCTCAGGACACCAGACAGCACTTGAGTGCTATGCTCGGGGCCATTTTAAATGGCAAAATCACCAAGAAAAAGTACAGAAACACTAACAATGTGGCACTAGCTACCCCTGGAAGAGCACACCGGTTTCCAGCATGAGCTGGGCAGCGAGGCAGAGCGCTGCCTCTTTCAGCCTCAGTGGGCGCAGGCATGGTGGCAGGGGCTGCACTCCGTCACCCCGCTGCACGGGTCTGTGAAGGACCGTGGAAGTTCCACAAGCACTGATTTCGGGTTTGCACATAAATTCTATCCAGTGGGTGAGTTCTCAAATAAAGGAATCATGAAGGTCCCCGCAGTGCATAGACCCGCCTTTTTTTCCCTCCTTTTTCCCTGCCTCAGATCTCCAGGAGGCTAGAGAGGGGGAGGAGGGCACAGGGAGAGGCCTGGCAGGTGTTAAGCAGCAAGGACGTCCCCATCTGCACGTTGCTAGGAGCCGTCACTCCCATGCTTCCTGCTTTGCTGTGATGTGCTCCTGGCTGGGGCTCCCCGCTCTTTATTCCTGGAGAAGTGGTCCTGGAGGTTGGTGTCTTTTACACTTTGGTCTGGCCATTCCTGCATCTGTGTCCAAGGAGGACAGGACCAGGCACTGCAGTTGTCCCAGAAGAGCCACCTCCCTCCCCCTCAGCGTCAGCCCTCGGTGGAGAGGCCCTGGCCTGGCAGCCTGGCGGGGGCTGAGAGCAGTGTCTGCTCTGTGTAAACTGACATTTCAAATTGGCAGTCAGAGGTGGTGGCATCTGCTGAGCTGTTTGTTCCTAGACAAGGAAACTACAGAGTCTCTGGCAAGGTCTGTGGCTAAAGGGAAGGATGACTGTCGCTGGCTTGAAATATTGGCCTTTGCTCCCCACAAATCAGAAAGCCAATGAAACCAGGAGAGAAAATGCCAAAGGGCAAGATCCGTCCACAACCGCAGTGTGCTTTAGCCCGCACCGCCTTCCTCCTTCCCGTTGCCTGGCTTGCTCTTGGAACAAGGTACAATGTGCTACTCAGCAGGGACTGTTTCTGATAAGCAGAAATGCCCATAAAATTGGAATAAAGGTGGAAGGTGAATTTATAACGGAAATGCTCACTGAACTTAAAAGTAGATTTGATTACACTAAGCCTGGAGCCAAAACGCTAAGAAGTGAAAGAAAACACAGCAGATCTAAGGTCTCTAATGTTCAGAAAAACAAAAAGTACACACAAAAAAATAAAAGCAATGACTGTTGGAATTTCTGGTTCATTCTTGGGGTTGCAGCCCAACACTAAATTTCTCCACGAATGGTGGGACACAGGAGGGACTAAGATCCACTGCCACTGGGACAGGCGGGGACCCTAGGCCAGCATAGCTCACAGCACCCCATGCCCTCCCCTAAACTGCTGTCCCTTCGATGGGGCAGAATGAGGGTGGGAACGGGCAGCAGCCACACAGAGCAGGGTCGTCTACCCTGACATCCCCGACTCTCAGGTGAAGAAGCCAAGAAACCAGGACAGCACAGGGAAAGAGGGGGCAGGAATAACGGGGGATTGTTTTAAAGAAGAGTATCAAAAACGTGGCTGTTATTTCTCATTAAATGAGCCTAATAAACTAAATTTGAAGTAAAGTCACAAGCAAAGATTTTTAAAGTAAAATCTGCCTTTGGGTGTGATCAGGGGTCACATGAAAAGAGGAAGCCTCAGACCAGGAGGAGCACCGCCATGAC